GTGGAGGCAGATCTATAAGGCTGGGTTCACCTGAAACTCCTCAGACTGAAGAAGTCTCTTGGAGGAGAGACAAAAAGTTTCATTATAGAAGAATCTGTCCAGAGGACCTACTTATTTTTTCTGTATAAAAAATATTACAAAATAAATGTTAACTTTGATACACGTTAAGAAAATATCTATCCATCCATCCATCCATCCATCCATTATCTATACATGCTTCTTCCTTTCAGGGTCATGGGGGTCACTGGTGTCCATATCCAGCAGTCAATGCGAGGGGTGAGTACACTCTGGACAGGTCTCCAGTCCATCACAGGGACATATAGAGACAAATGAGACAAACATTCAGTCTCTCACTCACACCTAGGGACAATTTAGAGTTATCAATTAACCTAACAGTCATGTTTTTGGTCTGTGGGAGGAAGCCGGAGTACCCGGAGAGAACCCACGCATGCACGGAGAGAACATACAAACTCTACCCAGAAAGGTCCCCGGACCGKGATTTGAACCGGTGACCTTCTTGCTGAGAGGCATCAGCTCTACCAACTGAGCCACCGTGCTGCCCAATCAAATTTAACATATTGTTTTAAATATATATTTGGCTCTTTTAATTGAGCAGCCTGGTTTCTAAAGGTAAATGATACAGTAAAATAAAAGACAAAACTATTTAATTTCATATATGAATGTAAACTGGCAGTGAGATTTTGTAAATTTCACAGAGGGCACTGCCTGAAAACGTTTGGGAAGTGTTCTGTATGTAGAAAAAATGTGGGAATACTTTTAGAATATCATGAGGTGTATAAATAAATTCAGTCAAAAACATGTCATTAATAGGGTTATTATTTTTGATAGGGAGTAGCGGTGGAGCAGCCGACCTGAGACCAGAAAGTCACAGGTTCAACTCCCAGCCATGCCCACATCTCGTGGTGTCCTTGAGCAAGACACCTAACCCCCAACTGCTTACACTTACAAAGCTGCCTGCTGCTCCACTTGGGTGTTTCTCATGTGTGATGGGTCAAATGTAGAGCACAAATCTCATCATTGTATGGAAACATGCATTGATGACAAATAAAGTACCTTCAACTTTATGCAGTTAACGTGTGCGTAACAGCACGTATGTATTGTATTAAAATTGTTTATCGATAACATATTCGGCAGTAGCAGTAGGTAGTTGCTGTCGCCCGTCGTCCTTGAATTTAATCAAGCTGTGCTTTAAACTTTAAATAATAAGATAACCGTAATTATCTTCTGAATTTGTATAATTATATTATTGTCGTTGTTGTTGTCATTGTTGGCTGTCATCATGGGGATTAGCTGGAAGATGTGGGCAAAAACAATGTTCATAAAAATCCACTGAGCAACACAAAGAAAACCACTTCACCCAACATGTAAAACCTGTAATATTTATTTCATGGATGATTGTTTTTAATACAACTACAAAAAGGGATTATTTTTTGTAACATAACAATTTTTTAAAGAACAAAATAACACTGTTGTACATCCGCTGTGAGATGAACCAGGAAACACTGAACACAGATAGTGAAAACAAGAAGCAGAGAGCACTTATGGCAGGGGTGCCCAAACATTTTCCCTGAGAGGGCCAAGATTAAAATCAATCTGAGGGTGGTTGGCCAAATGCAATAATACACGAAATGCAAATACTTCAAGTTGTATTTTTTATGACTAAGCTAGCAGCCAGTGCGGTTGCCCAAATTTTCTGGTTTGTTTGTTTTTTCAGCCCATGGACATGGAGAAAATTCAACGTATGCTCGGGCAGCAAAAGCTCATGGGACTTTTCATAATTTAAAATTTGAGTATATGTGGTCTTAAAAGGTGTGTAAATCTACAGGTGCTGGTCATAAAATTAGAATATCATGAAAAAGTAGATTTATTTCAGTAATTCCATTTAAAAAGTGAAACTTGTATATTATATTCATACATTACATACAAACTCATATATCCATCCATCCATC